AGAGAGAGAGAGAGAGAGAGAGAGAGAGAGAGAGAGAGAAAGACAAGTCTATACAGCACCTTTATGCGGTCATATACGAGGTTTCTAGATGCACCTGCTGTCGTTATCTTAAAGATAAAACGTTGTAAAATATTCTTTCACGTCACGAGCACATCTCGGAAGGAATTCCTTTCTCGCGCGACAAAGAAACAAGCAAGAGAAAAGGGAGCATCGCGATTCTTCATGCCGTTGTTTCCTTTTTACGGCTCTTTTGACGAAAACTATATTTTATTACAAAAACAAATAAGTTTGAACAACAAGTTTTTTTTCTCACCAAATCAAATATCCGTCACGGAAAAATGTTTACTCCGCGCAAAGTGTTCTTTTCATCGCATGTGACCGATCCCCCGTGTGTTTTCTCTATTTCGCGCGCGAATTCGTTTAAACAATCGAAGCGGCGCGTATTTCAACGTATACGTACGTACGTACACACGCGAGCGTAACACACGCCCGGGACAGAGGATCGAGGAGAGAAAATCATCCGATCTATCGCCGATAATCCCCGCCCCCCGCTCCTCTCGTGTGATCGCAGAAGGTAAACCCTCCCCCCTTGTGTGATTCGACAGAAACGCCATTTAATTAATGGTCAATACCGCGGATCTCGCGGGCGGGATTACCGCCGCATGGCGTTTGACGGTGTCAAGTTGACACGAAGAGAGATATAGAGACGTGTTCGCGAGACGAGAGATGTTCGATGGCGCATAGTTTTTAAAAAATTCAATTCAATATGTGTGCGGACGAGACAAAATGAATTGCGAGCAAAGACAGTGGCGCTCGTTTCTCTCTGCAGCTACGTAGAGATCCGTCGCATTTTTAATTTCGCAACAGTAGCGGACACGCAATAAATACAAAGTGTCTAAATTAATTGAAATCGCCAGTTCTGTAAAAAAAAAAAAACAAAAAAACAAAAAAACAAAAATAAAACAGATCTCTCGTGGTTGTTCGTAAAAATTTTTTTAACTTTACTTTATGTTACAAAAGAACGAAGAGGAATGGCATGGTATAATCGCTACGTGAATATCTCGGAGACGGGCGCGAGGGAGATCGTCGTTCTCCCTCTAAACTACCCGCGCGAAATCCGTTACGTTGCACGTAAGGCGTAATGCGCTTAATTTATAAGAATGAGGCGGACGGGAAATCGCGGGGGAGGAGAAAAAAAAACTCCGCGCGACATTAATAGCGCATAATTTCACACAGAATATTAGAGACATAGCTCGCGCCAGATGCCGCTCCTAATATTCCGCGGTACCATTGTGTTTTCTTTTTTGCGTGAAGGGAGAAAAATTAATAAAACAGAAGTTTTAACGAAGAAAAATATCAGCAGACGAAAAAACTTTTAATTACTTCTAATGAGAAAATTTCCAGTTTCTCGTCCTCTGTTTCGGAGGTGGCGCGTATCGCGGTAAGTTTAATCGATATATACGCTCTTTTCGTTCGCGCGCCCCGAGAGAAGGCCACTTCCTTCGCGTTTCTTCGACCTCTCACTCGGAAATTCTCACGCGACGCCGGTTTTACATAGTTTAATCGGGGAAAACTTTAATTTTAGGTTTCGGTTTAATTAATTTAGCGAACATATCAATCAACGCGATACACCGCGCAAGTCGAGTGAATTTCGACGAAACGAGAGCGATTACCTTGTTGCCGATGTAATCAGCCAAGAATACGTGCGATCAACCATACATTGTAAAAAAATGTTTAACACCGGATTAACGATCGCGACGAACATCGTTATTTAAACTTATACGAGATCGGCGCGTCTCGTACGGCGATCGCGCAATAAACACAAATCTCTCGCGCGCGTGTTGTCACGACGTTACTCGATCGGTGACTCTCCAGGAGAGCAATACGTATCCGGAAACCATTTTGACCAACCGTACTACCACCACCGTATCCAATCTGTCCGATTTCCCAGACTCTCCTCTCCGTAGGAGAGAGCATCGGCAGATCGGGAGGACGAACCGGCGATTTCTCCGAGACCGATTACCGGCTGGCGCGTCTGTTGGCAGATAGCGCGCGCGCGTAGTTTCTCTTCGGAAATCCAGATGGTCCGTCCAGGACTATAACTCAGGATTTCACGTGCGCCGGTAGCAGCAACTACCGTGGACCGTTGGCGGAGAGATGCACAGTGAGAGACACATGTGTGTATACGTGTGTGAATGTGCGTCGACGCATACAAAGGAGCAGGATGAAAGGACGAGGGGTGGGAAAGGAGGGTAGGCGTAAGGGAGATATGGTTAGAGCGGTAATGTATGCAATTGGACCGAGCGGCGTGCACGACGGACGGTTGTTGGTCGGTTATGGGTGGCGGCGTCAGGGTGCGCGCGGTGGTGGTTCCGTATAGAGAACGAGGGATGGCGAAGGGCATGGCGTACAAAAGGGGTCGCGGCCGCATACAATCGCAGAATCCCGCGTGGCGCGCGACCGCGCCGGGTATTATATGGTGTTTAGTTTGCCATGGTGCTCGTGCGACGTTCTCGCGCGCACCGTGGTTTAACTTCTCTCTTGTGCGCTCATGATCGCGTCGAATTAACTCGGTCGCGTCTGCTGTGCAGCGACCGGACGACATTAATCCACGCATGTGACGGACTTCAACGCGGCGAAATGAACGAAAATTTAAAATCGGACGCAGATGCGCGCCCGGCGGTGAATATATGAGAATTATTTTCGCGAGTTTTTCTCGCGTTGTCGCTTCTGTTGTCGCGCGACAATCGAGACAATCGTTATCGGGGATTATTATACAACAAAGTGGGAGAATAACTGACTTTCTCAATATTTATTAACTTCGCGCGTATTTCGCAACGTCGAAAATGTTTTTATTTTCCGCTATTTCTATCTATCTTGAACTTGAAATAAAACTCCGCGCGCGTTTTACGCGCGGTCGCAATCCTCACGCGAAAACACGCGCAAACTTTAAATACATACAACCGGAGATATCAAAGTGATTTACCGAGTGACGCGCGTAGATTTTAAGGCAAATCCCTGGGAAAAAGAAAAAAAAAAACCGCGCGAAATAAATCCCGTGTAACCTCGACGCGGTCTGCGCGTTCGTAACAAATTAGCAGCTTACTTTTACTGAAACGCAACGTGGGATTACACCAAATGTATATATGTGAAAACTTTGCCCCGTAAACTAAAAACACATCATCGTGCGCAGAGAATTAAACTTGGCGCGCTACTTCGACCTCGGCCGCTTTAATCTATTCGCGGCTTATCCGAATTGCATCCGGCCGGAATGTGCGTTGCGAGCTGCAGCAGCAGCAGCAGGTTTCGGAAATTTCGGCTACAGGTTCTTGTAATTACTAATCTTTGGAAGTTCACGGAGCGGCAAGTTTCCCAACGCGCGCACAGCAGGATCGTCTGACAAACGGGTTCCTCACGCGGATTGACGAAAGAGGCGGATAACAAACGAGAGAGACAGAGAGAGAGAGAGAGAGAGGAATGTTTATCGACTGTTCGCGCTGTTCATTCCCGCTCGACAATCCCCGAACAAGTTTCTTTTGTGACGATCTTTCTCTCTTGCTCTGCGTACACACGATTTTCTCTTTTGAAACATTGAATTATGTCTCTCGAGATTCTTGGGCAAGAAAAACTGACAATTTCTTTTCGGGAATGTACACCCGCGACTTTGAAGCGCACAAAACGAACAGTCGAAAACGTACAACAGTCACGCGAAATGTAAATTCGAGGCACTTGTTGAAACATAAATTACTTGCAATTTACTCGCAAAGGGAGAATAATTATCGCGACGAGCGAGAAGTAGGAGGAGAAGACGAAGGACCAGGAACGGCGCGCTTCTCACTCTTTGTTAACGTTAATATCAGAGTTCGCGCAGTCCATCGTTGAGTTTATTGTGAGCGCATCAGACATGCAAAGTCAGAAATTACCTACTCGTAAGACTCGAGCCGGGGAACAATTACATCGCGCCGCTCTAATCCTCATTTGCATGCATATGTTTGCGGAGAGAAAGGTGCCGCCGCGTCGCGTCGTCAGCACAGCAATTATTACACCATCGGATTTGGCCGCGTCGCGATTTTAATTAAGTTAACATGTCTCTCTCCTCCTACTAATTCTCATTCTCTGATGTTTTATCGTCAATTTTCAAATATATATTCCGCGTTATAATAATCCTTTTAACGAATGCTAATATACACTTCTATCGACGCCGCACTTTCGTCTATTTTACGGCAAACGTTTCTCGGAAAAAAATCGCACACACACACACACACACACACACTTACCTTCTGATAATTGAGAGCGAGCAGCAGGTACTTCCTGTCGGCGGACAACTGGTGATCAAAACTCGACTGCAGAACCTGTGAGAGAACACAACAATCAAATTAATCCACACATCAAATTACTAAACGCACATACGCCACTGCAACATGTATGTGAGAGAGAGAGAGAGAGAGAGAGTATAATTCAGTCAAGTGTTTATCGTGTCTATAAATTATAACGAAATAACACGCTCACGAACGTTTAATGAAAACTGATATTCATAGTGTATTTTATACACCGCTTCATTGAACAAGCAAGAGCCTCTCTTTCTCTCAGAGGCGCGCGACACAAAACGATTATCTTTCAAATATGTATGATTCTCGCTTAGCATTTAATGAGAGCGCGGCGAAATTGCCGCATCAACGCGCAAACGATTAAAACAAGCGCGTTTGCTCGTTATAAAAAGTGCGACGCAAAAGACAATTGCTATTTTTACGGGTCGATGTTGTGTGAAAGCGTACACGTTACAACTAATTGCAAGAAAAAAAAAATAAATAAATAAATAAAAACCAACCATGACGAGAAAACTCGTCGGTCGCGTGTCAAGCTGCGATAATCGCGACACCGAAGTCCGTGCCGGTCCGAGACGCGGTGCAGGTCGTGTATATAGAGCTTATCGCTTATTACGCTTATAAAACGAGTTGTTAGCGGGGGGAGACTGCGGGAATTGACTGCGCGGGACGACCGCGCGGAAAGAGGCCTTTACGCTACCGCGACGATCCGGAACGGTTTGTCGAAATCACGACGAGTAAATTACGATCACGTGCGAGCGAGCGACACGGGTTGTCGAGGTTTGTTGAATGAGCGGCGGCGACGACGACGACGACGACGACAACGACAACGACTACTACTACTACTACTACTACTACTACTACTACTACTACTACTACTACTACGACAGCGACGACCCCTCTAATGGGATGACCATCGTTAAGCGAAGTCGCGAGTTCCAACGAGACAGTCGTTTTCGAGTTGAATGCTGAACGATCGAGCTGACGATCTCTGCACCAGTTAACTAACCTGTCGCAATCATAATGCGGTAACTGGCGCGCCAACAACTGTTATTACTACTTTAATACACGGAGTTTATTCGCGTGACCGATCGTCAGAACACCTGACGGATCGTCGTCGACTCCGCTCTATTCTTCGCGTCTGCTGCGCATCTTTCACGGTTTACATTTAAAAAAAAAATATCTTATCGCGGATAACAATCGATTCTGCAAATTTCTCACAACAACGTGTCATTTTGAAGTTTCTCATCGTTCGTAGAAAAACAAAATTTGATTTTCAGTTGTTTCTCAATTAATCGAAAAAAAAAAAAAAAAAA